ATATATATATATATATTTTTTTTTTTTTTTTACATTCAAGAGTCTGCTTTCAATGGGAAGCCACTTCTAGAATGGAAAACAGTTTAAGCCCATGGCCTTTCAGCTTAGCTGATCTTAACTGTCATGTCATGAAAAGACACCAAAGCAAAATACCTGTTTCACAGCCTTGCTCAGGGTTGACCTCACTTTTCAATGTCTCTCTGGTTCCTTAGAACACTATTCAGACCCCCAGCCCAGGACTTGGTGGTACTTATTGGCTGCTGCCCAAACAGGATCTCCAGAGATGTCTGGCCCTCTCCTTTGAGATCATCAGTGGGTCCTGCATCCCTTAAGAGGGGTATCCCCAAGATCTTGTGACCACCACTACCTTTGTATCTTGGCCTCTGTGGTGGGATTGGGTCAAGGGCCTCGTATCATTTAGTACATTTTGGCAACAGGGAGTTCTTGCTGTGAGCATTGTTACTGAAAATATGCTTCAGCTCTATGGTCAGGAGGGAGGCCAGGGCTATGTATGAGGAAGTTCCTGGGGAGAAGAGAACCTTGGAAATGCAATCCAACTCCAAACAGCATGAGCCCTCAGAGTGCTCTGCAAAGAGGAGAGAAAGGCCAGCCTGCTCCTCTGGGAACAAAGCTCTGGTGGCATGGTGCCTAAGGCATTTGACTGCTAACCAGAAGGCTGGCAGTTCAAACCCACCAGCCACTACTCGAAGGAAGATTGGGCAATCTACTTCCATAGAGATACCGCCTCGGAAACCCAAGGAGGGGTCGCTATGAGTCGGGGACGACTCAACGGCAGTGAGTGAGTAAAATACAGATTCTGGTGTTATATTATCTGGGTTTGAGCTCTGGGTCTACTATTTCCTGACTGTGTAACCTTGGATAAGTTATTTTACTGTGCCAAGACTCAGATTCCCCATCTATTAATGGGAATAGTTGCTTCCTCTTAGGATTATTGTGAGAATTAACCCAACAATTACATGTAAAGCACTTAGAGTGGTACCTGGCAACAGTGACCATTCAGTAAATGCCAACTGTTGTTATTGGGGTTGCTTGCACTAGGAAGGGATTTGGGTCAGGTTATGCTCAAGTCCATGGGCATCTTTAGTAAAATTCCCTTCTCCCCCTTCTGTTGGCACTCTCCGAATTTCATTTGCTGTCCCCTGGGATTGCCTGGCTTCTACTTCTCCGTTATGACAGATGAGGAGGTAAGAGAGCCCCTGGGAGGGTACTTCCAGTCTTCATGTACCTTCACTTAACGAAGTTCCTCTCCCACCCTAGGATGGAAGCAAGTGTGGAGGGAGACAGACAGAGCTGGTACCTCTGGTTGGGCAGGTTATTTACCGCACAAGGGCACCTGGCAGAGAGAGCAGGTGGGGGCTGAAATCTAGCCTGTGCTCCACTTGCCCACCTGTGGGGCTGCATCTCCCCAGAGGGGGATTTGCACAAAGGTGCCATATAAGCTAGTCACAGCCTGCAGAGAGAGAGCAGAAACCCCTGGGCAGATGATGAATCCTGCCAAGTGCGCTGTAGCTGTCTGAGCAGCTATCAGTTCATCAGTCCCCACCTTGCTCCCCCCTCTCCAGCCCAGAGCACTCCAGAAAAGGGTTGCTTTTCTGGGTTACAAACTATCTGGTTCCTCAGCTTAAAAAGGTACAACGTGGACTCTGCTCCCAGCAGCCCCATGTCCTGGATTTGGCAAAGAGTGTCCTGGTTTCACTCAGTACATTTATTCTGTTCCCATCAGTACATTTATTCTTCTTGGTCCATGTTTGATAAGACTGTCAGATGTCTTCCTGCCTCCATTCTTTCTCTTGCCATAGCTCTCCCTTACCAAAGTCTTGAAATGGCCTCCAATGAGTCCCATGATGGGATAGCCTAGGATACACAGTCAACTACAAATGGCAAACAAATGTGGGGGTGGGTACCCTGAGCCCAGATAACAGAACAGCTAAAGAGGAGGTGTCCAGAAATGCCACTGCCGCCTCCTCTGCCATGGCTTCTTACGCAGCCCTGCACCATGAGCTCAGCTGTGGGTGGAAGCAGCTACTTTTAGAGATTATCTCCATGCAAGACAGTAAATCCCTCCCTTCCTCTCTCACTTCTTTCCTTCCTTCCTCCCCCCTCTCCCTCCCTTCCTTCAAGAAGCAATTTTTGTTCTGATGCTAGCACTCTGCTAGGCACTGCTGGGGGATGCACTGAAGCCTCACAGCATGCATGTTCTTTGGCTTTGAGCAACTTCCCATCTGGTTGGGGAGATAAGACATGGACAGGAAGCATTTCAACAACAATGTGAACTAGTCTGTGCCTCAAATGTCAAAATAAATGGAACAGCTGAAGAAGTGCTGTTGGAGGTCTTAGGAGAGAAGGAGGCAGCAGAGGTCAGGTCACACTTTCTAAGGGTATCTTGACTGCTAGCTTCTTGCTCACTTCTTGATGTAAACCCATATCTTTGGGATGGATGAAAGAAAGGGTTAATATTGACCTTCGTTCAGAATGTGATGTTTTTGACTGAGCAGGCTCCTCATTCTCCCCCACCCTCACCCCCTTTTTCTGTGCATCTTGTTTTAGTTTAGGAAGTCAAAAGCCTTGGCAGTAGTATGGCTCCTTCCCAAAATAGCTCTTATCCTGTCTCGATAATTACAGCTCTCCAGCCTCATTCAGCAGCAGAGCTGCTCCCCAGAAACTGGGAAGAGAAGGCTCCTAGGCAGCTGGGTTAACTTGTCTTCTCTGGTTCTCTGGTGGTGGGATGGCATGGATGTAGGCCAGGTACTATCCCTGCAAAGCAGGAGAAAGCTGGGCCTTCCCTAGCCTGTCCCCAGGCCATATGGCCCATAGGCAGCCCCAGGATAAAGACTCTACGATGATGATGTCCAAAGCCTCCAGTTCCTCTGATCTGGGAATGGTTGACCATAGAGTCTGTTCCAGATTCCATTCCCAGCAGGAATTCTCTGGTGGCCCAACCACGGCATCTGGCTCATGGAAGGCAGTGTGTTTTTCATTGAGCTTCACAAGCCCCTTTGGATCCACAGTTGAAGATAGTGCCTGATTCAGCCTCTTTCTAAGTGTTAGTGTCCTCCCAAGTGCCCCTTCAAGGCCATTTAGTCTCAGGAGTAGCATGGAGAGATGCTTCTCATCCTTGGATTTGGACATTAGGAGCTGGAGTCTCCCCAAAAGAGGTTGAGCTGGACTGAGGGAAGCATTCCAGATGATTTTTTGGTATCAGAACTAGCAGAAGTTCAAAGGAAGGTCCTCAGGGTGCCCTTTTAGGTCAGCAGGGGCTGTCTTCTCACACAGCCCTGGGGAGTTGTTCCTGGGAATAAAGTAGCTCTTGATGGGAGGGCTGCAGTGCCTCTGACAGACAGGGCTGCCTGGCCCCAGGATCCTGTGTCCTGAAGGCACCTGACCTACTCATGTTGGCTGTGGATTACAGTGTCAGGGGACGAGGTGGTTTACTCCCTGCTATATCTATCAATTATGCAAGAAACCAACTCTAGAAAACAGGCCAAGGACAAGAGGAGGCCATCTCAGTGATCCTTAAGGCAGACATCATTGTCTTTAGAGTGACATGTCATTTGGTCTCTGGGGGAGAGGATGGTTGGCCTTCTGTTTGTTCCTGAGCCACAGGTAAGTTTTGCTCAGGTAGACTTCCTTTATGAAGAAAAATTCAGGCCCTAGGAGGAACCTGGGGAGTCTCCTCATTTCATGAGGATGTTAACAGAATCCTGGAACATGGGCTTTCTGAAAAGAATCCTAGAAACCATCCTTCCCACTCCCCTATTTTCTCTTGCTTTGGACAGAGGCCTTCAGTTGAGAGGAAGTGCTGAAAGAATGGAGTTGCTGAAAGTGGGGCAGGACACCTCAGGAGGCTTTTCGTAGTGGCTGGACTCTGATGACACAGCTTCTTAGAAAGCAGGCATCTTCCTTGTCAGACGGTCCCTTGTCCATTACCAGCTACCACAGGCAGCTAAATCCAGTGTAAGTTTGGATCTCAGACAAGGAAGCTGGTGACCCCAGCCAAGACTTGCTATTTTGGGACAGACTATGGTGACCAACTCATCCAGGTTTTCCCAGATTGTCCTGGTTTTAGCACTGAAAGTTCTGCATCCCAGGAGCCTCCTCAATGCTGGGCAAATTGGGACAGTTGGTCACCCCAGCTAGGCTGTGGCACAGACAAGGTTTGCCTCAGCAAATAGTTTCTGGAAATATGTGCTGGCTTCACTGTGAGACCAAGGCAGGTTAGTCCCCTCTCTTTATAATATGGAGGCAGGAAAATGCTCACCTTCCCTATGGGCTTGATGGCAGGAGTCCCTCAGTTTTTTGTTCTGCTTAGAATTAGCCCATGTAGGGAAGAATTTGCCATACCCATTTTGGACTTTCTGGTGTATTTTCAGAAGCTACTTGGTTCCCTGCCTGGAACCCATCTCCACATTACCTCTTTCTGTCAGAGTAGTTTGGAAGTGTTTGAAATGATGAATTTTTCTAGGTAGATTAGGGAAGTTGGCTTCAGAGGGCAGAGTGCATACTTGGGTGAAGAAGCAAATCTGTTACCCAGGAGCCACAATGACAGCTGCTCAGCCAGAGAAAGGCCATCCTGAGTAGCAGAAATGGCTATGTCCCTTCCTCCTCCTCTGCTCAGCTGCTTTTGGCCCAGCTGCTATGAGGGGAGCAGCAAGAGACAGCTGCACCTTGAGGACTGAATGAAGGCCTGGAGGAAGGGGACAGAATGTGAGGCAGTTCCCAAGAGAAGCTCAGGCTCAGATACTGTGGGTGGGAGGACTGGGCCAGCCAAAGTCACTTATTTGGCGCACTCACCACAGAGATAGTCATCTAGCTCCAGGGGTCGACATAGTGGTGTTTTGGGGCATTGAGTTCAATAGGTCTGAAAGCAGAACCAGCTTTCCAGAGACAAAATGATGTCTAGTCAGTCTAATGTCCCTATTGTCTAAAGCATTACTCTGGAATTTTCTCTTCTCCCATTCTTCTATGCCTGTCATACATGCACACTCGTAATCCATTCGAGGGAAGGCATTTGAAATAGTCACAGTTCATACTTCCTAGTTTGGTGTTGATAGTATTCCCATCAGCAGAGATAATAGCTACCATTTATCTTACTAATTATATGATGCTAAGTGCATCACCTTAATGAATCTTCATAGCAACCCTATGGAGAGGACTTCTCCCCATTTCACAGATGAAGAAACTGAGGCTCAGAGTTTGCTCATCAAAGCTGGGGGCACTTTAGAGAGCATCCTGCCACAGGGATACAACTACATCTTCTGTAGCCACATCTTCCTGGAAAATAACTTCTCGATATTTCAGCAGCACCTTTAGGTATCATGACTTGTGAAGGGAAAAGTTTTAGTGGTAGCAAAATCTGTCTGTGAACTGTGAGGGTGGGAGGTGGGTGTGAGTGGATAAATAGCCAGCATGAAAGGCAAGGGATGGGCTAATGAAGCTCAGAGCCTCAAGCCTTGTCTGTCCTCCAAAATCAGAGTGGAAAATTAATCAATGAATCCTTTCAGCCAATCCATATGGATCAGACATGTCTTGGGGGCAAAGGCCTGGCCACCCAGGCAGATAGCACATCACATGTTTGCTAAATTGAAGTGAGCAGAGGTTAAAATAGAAGACATGCTCCCAGCGCTAGAGGGGCTTGTCATTAATTTGGGAGAGAAAAGTATACAGATAGGTCAGTTGAAAGGAGTGGACATCAAAGGACAGAAGAAAGTCCAATGAGATAGGTCAGCAAAGTTTTCAGCGTGGAGGCACTTGGAGGGTGAAAATCAGGAGGAGACAGATTTTGCCTCAGTACAATGAAGAATTTGGTAACTCAGCTGCCCAAAGATTGTAGAGTAGTTGCTTGAGTCAGTGAATTTTGGCCATGGGAGGTACTCAAACAGAGGCTGGAAAGGCAGGGAGCTCTAGAGGAGATTCAGATCTGGTGGGTGGCTGCAGTACAAAGTCTGTAAGTCCTTTCCATTCCTGAGCTCCTGTGGCCCTGTCCTGCTGCATGGAAAGTGATGGAAGGGCCAGACTGCCAATCAGAGAGGCTGCTTCTAGCACCCTGTCAGCTCCGGAACTGCCTCTCACTGCAGCTGCTCAGCAGGTGCCAGGAAACACTTCCGAAACACAGCACCTTTCCACCCACATTTCATGGCTGCCCCAAGATCATAGGGTACCAGAGAGCAGTTGGGGAGGAGTGGGC